CTCATCCAGTCCCTGGACTCTTCCCGACGTCAGTACCAGGAGAAGGTCAGCAGGGGCAGGAGAAGGAAGGGGTGGGCATGGAAGCGTGTTAGAGGCTGTGTAGCTCCACTCGAGGCTGATTCTGACACATGCCCCTGCTGGGTCTCTGTGTCCTTCCCTGCCCTGTGTCCATTTGTCCCATGCCCCTGTGTGTAACTGTTGCCTTGTTTGGACCTATGTCCCTGTCCTTGACCCTTTCTCTGCCCACGTCTGGGTTCTCCTGTGACTGTGCCGTGTGTCTTCCCGTGTGGCCTGCCGAACCCCCATGTGTCTCCATGCTTCACTCCTCCGGATCTGGCCAATGCCTGTGGTCTTTCTTCCACATACCGTCCCCCCCACGGCCCCCGCCCTGCACCTGGCTCTGCATCCCCTGGCTGCCGACTGCCGGCTGGCCCTCCAGTACAAGCAGGTGGAGCAGTACATGTCCTTCCACAAGCTGCCGGCTGACACCCGGCAGCGCATCCACGAGTACTACGAGCACCGTTACCAGGGGAAGATGTTCGACGAGGAGAGCATCCTGGGCGAGCTGAGCGAGCCGCTCCGGGAGGTGGGGCTGGGCGTGGGGGTGCCGTCTGGGGCAGGGGCTACTGGCCAGTAGGTGATGAGACCAGGCCTCTGGGGGGCTTTTAGGGACTAGGGTCTTTCTGGAAAGTCTTATGGGGTTAAGTATACATGGAGAGGGGCTGCAGGGATCTCTGTTTGGGGGCGATGGTCCTGCAGGGGCTTGTGGGAGAGCTCTGAAGGCAGGAGCTTGGGGATGGTCCCAGGCTCACTGAAGCGTCCCCATCCTTTGGCAGATTGTGACCCCAGGGGTGGGGCCTCTGGAGACAGATTAGCTCGATGGGGGCACCTCGGGGCAGGGGACACCGCCTGCCTGACAGGCCCCTCCCCTGCCCAGGAGATCATTAACTTCACCTGCCGGGGCCTGGTGGCCCACATGCCGTTGTTTGCCCACGCCGACCCCAGCTTCGTCACAGCTGTGCTCACCAAGCTGCGCTTTGAGGTCTTCCAGCCGGGGGACCTCGTGGTTCGCGAGGGCTCCGTGGGCAGGAAGATGTACTTCATCCAGCACGGGCTGCTCAGTGTGCTGGCACGTGGCGCCCGGGACACCCGCCTCACTGATGGATCCTACTTTGGGGGTCAGCAGGCCTCGGGGAGGGTGGGGGGACTGGAGCAGAAGCTAGAGGGCAGTTGCTCCCCTGGGTCAGGCTGTGTGCAGAATCACAGAGCTCCAGCCTTCCCTAGGCCTGCTTAACCAGACTCTAGGCCCTGGGGCTCTGCGGTTTTAAATCGCTTCCTAAGAGAGGCCAATGCTAGACCCCCTTGACAATTTCTACGCCAGCGGGCCTTGTAGAACCCTTAAGCAGTGAAATCCAAGGATCCTGGGAGATGACGGAAAGACAGGAATAAAGCCCTGCTGCTCCAGGGGCTTGAGTTTGCTGGCTCCCTGGCGGGACGCCCTGGCAACACAGTTCAGGGGTCAGGCTGTAGCAGTGGGGGGCCGTTCCACCAGAGGCTGCCCACAGCTGCTCGAGGCTCTGCCCTGGCTCAGCCCCAGACCACCCGCCACTCTCCAGCATCCCTGTCCTGTCGCTCTTTGCCCTTTGGCCCTGCCTTTCTCCTTCTCAGGTGCCCTTGGACTTCACTCGCTGCCCCAGGCCTGCCCCTTGGGCCAGAGCAGGGGAGTGGGTATGAATTAAATGGAGTGGAATAACTAGGTGCGTGGGGGCCAGAAAGACCCACCTGTTTGTCAGCTTTAGTTTGGAGAGAGTGAGAGAGATTGTAATTGTGCACGTCTGGAGAAAGACAACCCTTGGGGCATTTAGGGGTCTTGGTGTGGGTGGGGAGGAGCCTGAGGGAGCCGGGTCAGCTGCTGCAGGCCCGGCAAGAGGGAATTCTGCGGGAGTTCTGGGGACGGCAGTTCTGAGGGCCCCCCCCCCAACTTGGACAGAGATCTGTCTGCTGACGCGGGGCCGACGCACGGCCAGCGTGCGGGCGGACACCTACTGTCGCTTGTACTCCCTGAGCGTGGACCATTTCAACGCCGTGCTGGAGGAGTTCCCCATGATGCGCCGGGCCTTCGAGACTGTGGCCATGGATAGGCTGCGCCGCATCGGTGAGGCCCCTCTGCCCTGTGCGCCCTGGGGTCCTGGCTGTGTCCCCACCCCGCCTCCATAGCAAGGCAGCCCCGCCTCCCAGGGCCCAGGCTCTAGTGCATCAACGTCACACCCCAGCCCACCCCGTTCTCAGCAAATGCCCCCACAGGACCTTCAACACTGTGTCTCACTGTCCTTGCCACTCAGTGTCTCCTACCCCTGGAGACATTGTCCCGAGTCTCCACGCCCAGAGTCCTGCTTCCCTGAGCCTCACCATCTCTGGTGCATACTGTCCCCCCTGGCCCTCTTCCTCCAACGCCTACCTTCCGGCCTCCATCCCCATCCCTCACCCCGCTGCCACCCTTTGATTCCGTCTTGTTGTCCTCCTGCTCTGATACCCAGCCTTCACCTTGGCCTCCTTCCCCTCCTCATTCTCCCCCTGCTGGGACCATTTCTAGGCAAGAAGAGCTCTGTACTGCAGCGGAAACGCTCCGAGCCAAGTCCCGGCAGCAGCGGGGGCACCGTGGAGCAGCACTTGGTACAGCACGACAGGGACACCGCCCGGGGAGTCCGGGGCCTGGCCCCGGGCACAGGAGCTTGGCTCAGTGGAAAGCCGGCGCTGTGGGGGCCGCTGGTGCACGCGCCCCTGCAGGCAGCCGCCGCGACCTCCAGTGTGGCCATTGCCCTGACTCACCAGCGGGGCCCTCTGCCCCTCTCCCCTGACTCTCCAGCTACCCTCCTTGCTCGCTCTGCTCGACGCTCAGCGGGCTCCCCAGCCTCCCCGCTAGTGCCTGTCCGAGCTGGCCCTCTGCTGGCCCGGGGTCCGTGGGCATCTACCTCCCGCCTGCCTGTCCCACCTGCCCGAACCCTCCACGCCAGCCTGTCCCGGGCTGGGCGCTCCCAGGTGTCCTTGCTGGGTCCCCCCCCGGGAGGAGGTGGACGGCGACTAGGACTTCGGGGCCGCCCACTCTCAGCCTCCCAACCCTCTCTGCCTCAACGGGCAGCTGGGGATGGCTCTCCTGGGCGTAAGGGCTCAGGAAGTGAACGCCTGTCCTCTTCAGGGCTCCTGGCCAAGCTTCCAGGGACAGCCCAACTCCCCAGGCCATCAGTGCCTGAGTCAGCTGCCCCTCGGGGCCCCCAGCTCTCTGCCAACATGTGAAACCCTTGGCTAAGCTTTTGGGCGCCGCAGTGTGTGCCCGAGGGTAGATGCCTCTGGGGGAAGGCCAAGGAGATCTGAAACACGGCCCTGGGGGAATATCTCCCTTTACTACCAAGAGATGGTCTCTGTCCTCAGCTCAGGCACTCTGCAGCCTGTCTGACATCCTCCTAACCCATTCACCCATTCATCAAATGTACCAAGCGCCTACCATGTTCAGGGCACTGTGCCAGGCGCTGTATGTCTTCACTGCCAAGTAGAAGTGACTCCAAGGCCTCTGAGGAGGGGGTTCCCCTGGCCTGGTCCTGCCAGGTGCAGGCTCGGGCCCAGGCCCCCACCTCACCAAGCACAACTGCTTGCCACCGCCATCACTGCCAAGCAACTAGATGTCTCTGTTTCCCGGCCCGTGACCCTGCAGGTGCTGCCTGCTGCGTTCGGCCTCTGCCTCGCTAGCACAGCCGGGCACTGCCAACCCCCATGCCTCCGCTGCTGTCAACAGGTGTCTCTGCTCCCCAGTGTGGGCCTCCACCTTCACTGCCTTGTGTGGACCGTTCCCCTCCATACCGCCCCCACCCAGCGCAAACGTCTCCTGTCGAGTCCCTTGCACTCTCTGTCCCCGTCCTAGATCTTCTTGTAGACAGGGGCCTCCTCCTCCCTGAGCCCCTGCCCTGCCGGTGTCCCCCTAAAGGCTGTGGGATGGATGGCACCTCCCCATTTAATGTGCCAGCCTGGATCCCCCCAGGTGGGGGGCAAGTGGCTGAATCCTTAGATGGCATTTTTTTCTTCCCTTCTTCCCTCCCTTCCTTCCTTGTTTATTCTTATTATTCAATTATGTAATAATTGTATTTATTCATTTGCTAGTTTTATTTATTATTAATTCATTTTATTTAGCCGTTCCTTTATCCATCCCTCCCCACCTCTCCTTATGGGGAGAGAGGAAGAAGCAGGTCCCCCATGCCAGCTCTTGGGGTCCTCACGCAGCTCCACCAGCCGGCAGCAATACTGAGCCCTCTCTCTATCTAGAGCGGCAGGAAGGGCTACGCAAGCGGGGAGGAAGACTCTTGCTACTTTCAGGGGTTTTGCTCCTCTTGAGTCTACTGTTGGTGAAAGAGTAAGTGGAGGAGCCAAGGTATCCAAGCCTGGGGAAGGGTAGGCTAGCCAGTACCTCTGCCTTCTCAGGGACAAGAGAAATACTTGGCCCTGCTCCTCTGTCCCCACATCTGCTCGACAGTATCAGAGAATGTGGATCCAGGACCTTAAATCTTTCCTCTTGAGTGAAGAGTCCTGGGGTTTTATAATTGCTCCCAAACAGCTGGGTTTAAAAGGAAAACAGAGCTACTCGTTTTGGCTCCTGGTTTGTGTGGGGGAACACCGTGGGCACGAAGGAGTTTCTGGGTGCAGGACGAGGCAGCAGAGCATCTGACCCAGCAGGGCATGAGGTGGGCGTGAGAGCAGCCATGGAGGGGCCTGCAAACCCAACAGAGGTTGTGAAGACAGTGACAAGATGAGCCCCCCAACTCTCGGGGCTCCCCAGCCCTCCTCCAGCCCAAAAGGCTGGTGCTCTGGTGTCACTGTCCATCACAATGAAGGAAGAGGTGGCGCTCTCCTCGGGAGATGCTCAGGTCATCACGAGGGCCACACCGGAGACCATCAGACTGCATGGATATAGGGATTCTGTGGGGACCCCCTGTTCCCCTCGTCCCCCACGCCCTGGGTACAGGAAGCCCAGGGGACTCAAATTAACCGGCTAAGCTAGGATTAGAGGCTCAGGGTATTTAGGGCCCAGCTGAGAGCATTGGGCGCAGGGGATGTAGGACTGGTGCTGCCGGGTGGCCTGTGCTTAGCTGGACACAGACCTTCCGGGCCTGCGTGGAAGGGAGAGAGGAAGCGGCGCCCTGGAACGGGGCTAGACGGCAGATGCGGCCTCGGCAGGGAGGGCCTGGAGCAGGGAAGACAGCTGGGGGACTGTGGGGTGGAGGGAGTGAGGTCCTGGTTGGGCTGGGTTAGGGGGGCGTGGCATCTCAGGATATGCTCAGCACGCGCATGATGTTGGTATAGCCAGAGCCAGGGCGCCAGCCCGTCACCACGATCACCAGGTCTCCCACGCGGAGGAAGCCACGGAGCTTTCCTGGCAGGGGTGCCGGGAGAAGATGACGGTCAGCCATTGAGGGACGCAGGCCAGCCCTGTCATGAGAGCCAGCCACCGCCCCCATCCCCTCCAGGGCAGCCCAGAGGGGCTTGAGGTGAACTACACAGTGTGGGCCCCAGGTGGCGCCACAGGGACCGCGACCGCGGCAGTATATTAGGGCTGCAGGGGTGTCCAGGGGTGGCATGTTGCCCACCTGTGCTGCTATGGAGAAAGGAAGAGGTGGGGTGTGATCACAGTCCGTAAACCAGAGTTTCCCTCCAGCTTGTACCCTCACCTCTTAACCCTTACGTCCTATCCAGCTCTGGCCACCCGGTGCGGACAGCAGCCAGGCCGACCTCACTCCCACTGCCCTCCTCCTCAGCTTGCCCCCTCCCCCCAGCCCCGGAGGCCACATATCCCTGTGTCTTAGTGACCCTCCCGGAGAAACTCTGGGACCAGAGGAGAGAGGCCAGGCCCTGTGAGTGTGTGTGGAAGGTGAGGTCGGGGGACCGAGGTTGCAGATCCGGGGCCGGGTGCGGAGGAAACGTAGGTGGCTCACCACTTTCAATGCCAAATTGGACCCGGCGATCCACATCGTCTGCCCAGATGGCCTCTGGAGGTTCACTGTAGAGTAAGGGGAAGACCCCTCGGCACAGGTGGGCCTGCCGGGCAGCCTGGGCAGAGCGGGTAACAGCAATGACCGCTGCCCGAGGTCGGTACCGAGACAGCAGCTGTGCTGAGCTGAAGGAGAGGGAGAAGGTCTCAGAACAGTGAAAGAGTGTTGAACCAGGAAACAAGGGTTTGGGTTCTGATCCCAGGGTCACAAACAAGCTGTGTGGCCCTGGGTGAGTCATCATATTTCTCTGGGCCTTGTTTTTCTCACCTGTAAAATGGGCATAAGCATGCCTGCCCTTCTTAGCACACAAGGATGACCAGAGATAATGAAGGATAGATCAAAGCAGATAATAAGAAACTTCTTGAGAAGCATAAAACCCTTCTGAGAATGTACCTATATGTAGTACTTAACTCACAGGTGTCTCTTGTTAATCCTCACAACCCCATGAGAAAACGGAGGTCTATGGGGCATAGGTGGCTTACCCAAGGCACCGTAGCTGATTTCAGAGCAAAGGCTTGAACTAAGGCCTTCTGGTCCCTTCTGCAACACCTCAGCACTGTAAGGCTTTGTGGACTAAAAGCAGGGGCCCTAAACTGTCCTGGAAGCCTCCGTGCTCAGTGATGTCACATTCCCTTCCAACCCCATGGAGCTCATGGCGAATTTCCCGCGTGCTCTAAGATCCGCCTCTCCTGGCCTCCAGCTACCTACTCCTCTTGCTGCAGAACGATACTCTTCATCCCTGACGTCAAGACAAAACCCAGGCCTGTGGCCCATCCCCGCCTGCCCCTAGCCCAAAGCTGTGTCCTGGTGTTGCCAGTGTCCTCCTCACCGGCCAGTCGTGGTCAGCACGATGATGGCGGCAGCACAGCACTTGAAGGCGGCCTCCACCGCGCCTATGGCGGTGACCTCAGTGGGGTCTCGGCTCAGGGGTGCTGCCCGGCGCAGTTCCTCAAACAGCTGCCGGTGGTACACGGCAGCCTCTGCCTCCCGGGCAATCTGCAAGCACCAGAGGTCAGGCGGGGCCGGGGGCACCGGGGCCAGGAAGGGGCTTGGTGTTTCTGGGATTCTGAACTCCTACCGCGTGCTGCATCTTTACTGCCTCCACGGGAAATCGGCCCTTGGCAGTCTCCCCTGACAGCATGATGCAGTCTGCTCCGTCCAGCACAGCGTTGGCTACGTCACTGGTCTCCGCCCGGGTCGGCCGTGGCTTAGTGATCATGCTCTCCAGCATCTGGGGGACATCGGGGCATCAGAGCTGCAGGACTCAAACTCTGGGCACCCTGCCCCAGCTACTTCTCTGCCACTCTCAGAGTGCCCCGAAAGCCAGGGTCACAGTTACAAACTATATGATTCTGGCAATTCAGTTTCCTCATCTGAAAAATGGGGCTCACAGAATCTCTTCCCAACTTCGTTGTTTGAGGATCAAACACTGGACAGCAAAATGTGCTACAGACCTAAGGTATGGGTATCCACCGTCAGGTGTCCCCAACACCCAGAGAATGCCCGGGGCCCCGAGGGCTCACTCCAGACCTGTGTGGCGCAGACAACGGGCTTGCCCGCCAAGTTGCACCGTCCAATCATCATCTTCTGGGCCAGGAAAACCTTCTCAGCTGGGATCTCGATGCCCAGGTCGCCCCGCGCCACCATGATGCCATCGCTCACCTCCAGGATTTCATCAAACCTGGGTGGTTGGGGGAGTCAGGGCTGGGGAAGAGCTAGAAGATTCCAGGGAGAGGCAGGCTGGAGCAGAGGAGGGCGATGGGGATGGCTAGGGCCTGATGGGGACAAAAACCAAGCCTCACTTCTTCACGCCTTCGTGGTTCTCGATTTTGCTAATGATCTTGATGTCGCGTCCTTCGGGCCCCAGAGCAGCCCTGATGGCAGCCACATCACTGGCTTTCCTCACGAAGGAGGCAAAAATGATGTCCACGTTATGCTGTACCCCGAAGCGCAGGTCCAGGATGTCTTGCTCAGACAGCCCGGGCAAGTCCACCTCAACACCTGGCAAGTTCACGCCCTTCCGGCTGCCCAGGAGGCCTCCGTTCTCCACTTGGGTCTCCAGCTCCTCTGGGCCTGCAGGCATGGAAAGAGCCAGCGCAGGTCAAGGGTGATCCGAAGGCATCCGAAGTCACGGAGAGGGAGCCCAGGAGATCAGGAACCCATGTCCTAGTGTCTCTCCACCCTCGGCCAGGCCTGTGCACCTAACAGGCACCGGTGGACGTCTGTGCAAGAAGGGACGAACCCAGCAGTCCCACCCCAACCGGGTTGAGCCCACAAGCCTGGACACGGGGTCTCAGGGAGCGGGTGGGGAAGAGTGCTGGCCAGGGGCAGGGGCGGCGGGTCTACGGGGCGAGGGGGCCCAGGGAAGGGAGTGCGCCCACGTCCTCGCTTGGCTGGGGCGTAGGCTCATCCGCACCGATTTTCTTGACCTGGAGGGAGATGAGCCCGTCGTCTATGTAGATGCGGCCCCCCACCGGCACGACCTTGACGATATTGGGGTAGTCCACCCACACGGTGTTCGGGTCCCCCCGCGTCCGGAACGCCGGGTCCACGGTCACCAGCACCGGGGAGCCCTTCACTAGCTCCACCTCGGCCTCCGGGCCCTAGGGGCGGGGCCAGAATGGTCTTGAGACCCGCCTCGTGCCCCACCCTCCCGGGCCCCGCCCCGGGCCCCGCCCCTCGCGCGTCGCGGGGCACCTGGGGAAGCCTGCGGCGCGGGGTCGAACTCTCACCCCCCGCAGGACCCCGGTGCGTATCTCCGGCCCCTTGGTGTCCAGGCCGATGGCCACGGGTCGGTAGCCGAGCGGAGAAGTTGCAAAGCTCTCCACCGCCTCCCGAATGTTGGCGATGGACTGAGCGTGGTACTGCGGACGAGCGAGCCGGGGTTTCAGGGAAAGGTTGCCAGGACACCCCCACCCCCCGGCAAGCTTTAGCTCCGCCCCCTCTCCTTGGCCCCGCCCCAAACCTCGTGGGAACCGTGCGAGAAGTTGAGGCGCGCAATGTTCATCCCGGCCTTGATCATCTCCTTGAGGCGCTCCACCGAGTGAGAGGCCGGTCCTGGAAGCAGAGATCCCTCTCAGACAACCTTCTTCCCAAACCCGTCGCCACCCATAGAGCCGCCCCACTGCACAGCAGTCCAGCTACCTGACCTTTATTCCCTGACGCAACCTCTGCTCACAGGTCAGCCAACACCTGCTTCCTTGGGGGGGGGCACCGCGGGGGTCTTGGAGGGGAGCGTCCCGAGCCCGGCTTGAGACAACTGTGTTGGCAGTAATGTAACTGCTGCAGAGTGGGGGTCCCCGGGCCCATGAGGGGGTAAGGCAGGAGATAACGTGCCAGGTGAGGGGTCCGCCTGGGTCTTTAGAGCTGAGAGGCCTCATACTGACAGAGGAGAGGCGATCTCTCCCACCCCCTGCTTTGCTGGCCAGGCAGCTGTGTAACTGAGAGCCCGCCGGCCAACCTCTCCAGTCCCTTCCCGAAGCCGGTTTGCACGTGGGCACTAGGCCCCTTCCTCAGCTGCTCGAAGACAGGTTTAGCTATTCTGCAGCCCCCTGTGGTATCGATGTGTTCCCTTCTATTGGATCTTTCGCATCAGCATGTAACCCTGCTGCTCTGTCTTTTATCATAAAAGAAATCCTCTGAGCCCCAGTACCCGCTCCAGCTACAGTACTATATCTTTGCTCTCCTTTGCAGCAAAACTCACTGCAAGGGCTCTCTGTGCTTGCTGCCTCCGGTCCTCCTTCCTCCCCCTCTTCTCCCTTGCTCTCACTCCAGCCGGGCACTGGCCCCGCCTCTCTGCAGCATCTCTTCCTGTAAGGGTCGCCAAGAACATCTGTGTAGTTGCTAAACGCAGTGGTCAGTTCTCAGCGCTCCTCCGGGCTGGCGGGTCGGCAGCATTGAACCCGCGCGTCCTTGACGCACCTGTGCCTCACTTAGCCTCCAGGACACGCCCCGTCTCCCGTTTCCTCCGGCGCCACTGGCTGTTGCTTCTCAGCCCTTGCTTACTCCCCTTGACATTAGATGCCTATTCTCTTCTCTGTCATTTTCCCTTCACTCCCTTGGTGGTCTCACCTAGTCTCAGGGCTTTAAATACCATCTCTATGCTGACAACTCCCACATGTATATCTACAATTCAGACGTCTGCCCCAAACCCAGACTTGTGTATCTGATTGCCTCTGAGCATCTCAAACTCAGCATGCGCGAAGCCCAGCTGCTGATCTCCTCCCCCGAAAACCTCTGCACCGAGGTCTTCGCTGCTCAGTTGATAATGCATCCTTCTAGTGCCTCAGGCCACAAGCCTTGGATTCCTCTCTGACTCCTTTTTCACCCTCACCCCCTCCCCTTGTCCAGGCTGTCTGGAAATCCTGTCGACTCCATCTTCCAAATGCACTCAGAATCTGATCGCATCTGACCACCGCCACTGCCCCCACCTGGTCTGAGCCAGAAATGTCGCAGGAGCTGCTTCTACTCTTGCCCCCACCGCCGCCCCCAACCTCTTCAGTACCACAGCCAGGCAGTCCATTCCAGCATAAGAGCGAGTCACTCTCCCCCCCAGCACTCTGCAGCCCTCTCCTACTTCTTCTAGAGGAAAACTGAACTCAAACTCTAAGAATGGCTGCTAAGCCCTACATGATCTCCTCTTCCTCTACAATGTCTTCATTTGGCTACTCTTCCCCCGTGATGGTTTCTAACCATTCCAGCCTCCTTGACTCGGGGCCTTTGCACTGGCTGCTCCCTTGCCTGGAACCACCCCCTCCAACATGAGCACGGCCTCCTCTCATCTCCTTCATGCCTTTGCTCAGATGTAATTTTCTGAACAATGGCTCCCCAGTGGGACTGTAGCCTGCCTCCCGCCCTCGAGCCCCTAATGCCCCCTACAAAGCTCTGTGATCCGGGCGCCTGGGTGGCTCAGTTGGTTAAGCGACTGCCTTCGGCTCAGGTCATGATCCTGGAGTCCCGGGATCGAGTCCCGCATCGGGCTCCCTGCTCGGCGGGGAGTCTGCTTCTCCCTCTGACCCTCTTCCCTCTTGTGCTCTCTGTCTATCATTCTCTCCTTCTCAAATAAATAAATAAAATCTTTAAAGAAAAAACAAAGCTCTGTGTTCCTTGTTTCCGTAGTTCCTACCACTTTCTCACATACTAAATAATCTATTTCTTTTTAAGGTAGTATGGTTAGTATTTATTGTCTCGCCCAGCTAGGTGGTCAGCCCCCCAAGGGCGGTGGTCTTCGTTTACGTCACCGATCTCCTCCCAGGGCCCCAAGCCTTGGCCACCAGATGCTTAACAAGTATTTGTTGAATGAATGAGTCTGTCAAGCATGGAGAGGTCTCAGAGGAGACAGCAGATGGGGAAGCATCTCGATAACCGCTCCCGAGGTCCCGTGATGCTGGGGTGGGGGACGCTCACCGATGGTGGCGATGATGCTGGTGCTACGGGCGGCCACGGGCTCCGAGTCGATGTCCAGCAGGCATAGGTGCTCGAGGAAGCTGTCTGCCATGGCAGCCGACAGCTGCTGCTGGAAGAAGGCCGTGCCCAGCTCGTGGGTCAGCTGGGCCGCGCTGGCCCGCCGCAGGTAGCCTGCCGGCCCTGCCGTGGAAGAGGGCTGCGTGGGCAGCTGCTGCACCCCCCATCCTTCCCCTCGGCATGCCCCAGGTCCCCTCTGTCCGCATCAGGTTTCACTGAGCCCTTCTTAGGAGCTGGGCATGACACAGACGTTATCTGAGAGACGGGGTTCGCGTCCAGGCCTGACTGACTCTAGGCTCCGGTTCTTGACCATCCGGATCCCTGAGCCCTCACAACCCTGACTTCCTGCCCTCCAGCTGCTGACTCCCCTCAGCCTCAGCTCTTCACCATATCTAGTGCACAGTGGCTGGTCATGATCCAGAATCACCCGGTCCCCTTTCCTAAGCTCCCTATTTTCTTCCTTCCAATTGGCTGGCTCCCCAACCCCCTCCTCTGAGTTTCCTCAGTCTCTTCAATGCTGCTCCGGTCCTAGGGTCCCTGTAACTTGACCCGGCGCAGCCCAGAGGAGCCCCAGTCCCAGCCGCACCCTCCATGCCCCTGAGTGCCTGCCTGTCTCTGGGGGTCTGCTCCCCGCTGTCGGGCTGTCAGAGGCAGGCTGGGCCAAGGGAGCGGTCCTGTGTGCTGGTTAAAGTGTCACCACCAGGGACCAGAGTCCAGGCAACACGGGAGTGCCCCGTGGCTCCCATGCTGCAGGACCCCCCCTGCCCTGCCTACGGAGGCTAGAAAAGAGGCTTGGACCAGGGCCCAAACTGAACACAAGGGAGACTCCAGTGAACAGAACCCCCCCCCCCGCCGAGGCCCTCGGGGTCCAGCAGCAGATATAAGTCATTTGTGTCTCTACCCCCACTCCTGATTTCCACCCTCACTCCCCACTCTATTCAATGGCTTCCCCTTTCCTTACCTCCTGGAGCCCCAATCAGGATGGACTTTGCTAAGTCCCTTTGGGACTTAGAGATCCTTGACCAAAGCTCCTGGGCTCGTATGCTCTCCTGGCTGGACATGCTTACAGAGTGAGAGGCTGTGGAGAGGGGGGAGAACACAACTGCTGCTCTTATCTAAGGGAGACAGAGAAAAGAAAAGGGGCACACCCAGCTGGCTGCCCCTGTCCCCACACAGAGTCCCACCCCCAGACCTGCTGGCTCTCCGCCCACTCTTCTGGTGTTCCCCCCCATCCATTTTTCCTGATAAGTTTCCAATTCATTCGTGCTGTCATCAACCTGAATGGAGATTTTGGTGATATGGCCCCTTGTCCTTTGTACTTTCCTGGAGTTAGCCCTGATGAATCTAGGAAGGAGGGGGTTTATGGTAGGAACTGGAGCCTGAAGGAAGGGGATGGGGAGCACTGTGATAATATGGTGGGATTCTCTGGAAGGGCTCTGACAGCATCGCTGTTACCATAACACTAGCCACCATTTACTGAGACTAGGGGAGGAACAGGTTTGCAGGGAAACATGCAAGGTTTCCATGTTAGCCAGGCTATGTTCAAGATGCCAATCAATCATTGAAATCAATAGGCAGACAGTAGGACTTAGGGTGTGCTGGGACAGTGTTCGGACATCTTATGTACATACAGCTTCTTTGTCACCATGACAACCGAGAAGGAAGGTAGGATTGAGAGCCTGTTTGACAGTGAGGGGCCGAGGCTAGCAGGGTGGGCTAGGCATCTTCTGCCACTCCAGATCCTTTCTCTACCCTTGTCCACTCTGTCTGCGGCTGGGAGGCTAAAGGCCTTGCCCATGGCTTCTGTCGGGCTTGGCCCCTGGAAAAGGGGCACCAGTAGGAGAGGAAGCCTGGGCATTTTCCCTCCCCTTCCTCCTGCAGGGTTGCTGGAAGTCACAGGTCCTGCCAGGGACCCTCTCCAGATTCTAGGACCCATTCTCTCCCCATCCCCTGGGACCCGAAAGGTGGTTCTAGGCGCACTGTTACACTGTGACTAGATCTGGGCTAATGCTGTAGCTCTTGCAGTTTAGCAGCATCCTGTGCACACCTTTGGATATAATTCTGTTATCAAACATTCTTCAATTTATCTGATTTGAGAGAGCCCTCGTTTCCTGACGGAACCCTACCTGATACACTTGGGGCTAAAAATCTTGTCGGCAGCGGAGCTAGGATTCAGACTCAGTGTGGCGGCAGAGGCTGAGCTGTGTTCACTAAACTCCATCCCTTCCCTCAGACTCTGAGTGGAACAGAAAGAGGCTAGATAGTAGGGAGGACTTACAAGGGAGAATGAGCATGGCATCCTAGGCTCTGTTTATAAAAGACAGAACAAATAAAGATGGTTGAAAATGTAACCAGGGGCGCCTGGGTGGCTCAGTTGTTAGGCGTCTGCCTTCGACTCAGGTCATGACCCCAGGGTCCTGGGATCGAGCCCCGCATCGGGCTCCCTGCTCCGCGGGAAGCCTGCTTCTCCCTCTCCCGCTCCCCCTGCTTGTGTTCCCTCTCTCGCTATCTCTCCTCTCTCAAATAAATTAAAAAAAAGAAAAGAAAGTTGTAACCAGAGGGAACGTAATAGACTTCAGGCATTGGGGAACTAGGCCTTGTGCTTGGGGGTTGGGGAGGGACATGTGATGTTTAAGTCTGGCCTGGTGATTTCACTCTCACTCAAAGACCGCTTGGGAGGACCCGAATCCCAGAGATCCAAGCCCCGAGTAGCTAACAGGAGGTGGGGTTGGTGCCCCAAAGCGGCCCCTGTCCTATCCAAAAGCTTTGACCTGAAATGAGTCAAAGAGGAAAAGCACTGGGGCTGACCCTGGGTCCACAGTGACCACACCACGTGAGAGGTGTTCTGCACTTTGTCCCAGGGTCAGGCAGCCCTGAGCAGGTGGCCCGTGGGTGACCGCGGGAAGGACGGCAGGCCTGCGGGAGCCAAGCCTCGGCCGTGTCTGATGAGAGCCTCCCCAGCCGGCCAGCATGCACAGCCCCACAGCCTCAGACGCGCACAGGGCTGCTCACACGGCGTCAGACACACGCAGACTCGAGCTTGGATGTGTTCTCAGCACGTGCCCTGCCCCACGCCGGGTTCTGAGAGTCCGCCCCCGACGGGGGAGAGGCAGAAATGCGGGCAGTTAGGGTTAGTGAAGTGTGCGTTCAGGACGCAGCGGGGACAGGAGGGGTGGAAGGTTGTGGGTGACGCAGGAGGCCGCACCAGAGCTGAAGGGAGGCGAGGGCAGACTGGCCAGTGCGGGCACACGCGCACACGCGCGCCCTCCCGGGACACACAGACACTCTCCCGCTCTCACACGTGCCCGCCCGCGGCAGCCCCTGTGCACGGCAGCGGCCGGCCTGCGGGGGCGCCCGAGAGCCGCCCGGGGACCCGCGCGCGTCCTGGCCCCGCCCCCGCCAGCTTCCCGGGGCGCGGCGCGGGGCCCGCGGGCCTGGGGGTGCGGCGGCCGTGCGCCTGGCCCCTCGCCTCCGGCCGCCGGCGGCCCAAGCCGGGGGGTGGGCCCTGCGTCTGCGTTTCCAGCAGTTCCCTAGAATTTGTTCAAGTGTATTTACGTTTATTTGTAGACACTTGCTCAATATACAGCGCTCAGAGGTCCAGGGTATCAGTGAAGAGTTTCTCCCTTCCTGACCCCATCCCCGTTCCAGCCACTCGTGGCCCCCCCAGAGTCTACCAGAAGTTTCTGTGTCTTCTCTCAGAAATGGACCATGCAGGTACAAACAATATATACCCCCCCTTTTTTAAAATATAGGAACATTTTATTTTTATTTGTATTGCTTTTAAAGATTTTATTTATGTATTTGTGAGAGAGACAGAGAGCCAAGCCGGGGGAGGGGCAGAGGGAGAGGGACAGCCAGACTCCCCATTTGGCGGGGAACCTAACCGGTGACTCCATCCGAGGACCCCGAGATCATGCCCTGATCTGAAGTGAGATACTTAATGGACTGAGCCACCCAGGTGCCCCTATTTATTATTTTTTTTAAGTAATCTCTGTGTCCAGTGTGGGGCTCAAACTCACAACCCGGAGATCAAAGGTCACGTGCTGTACTGAATGAGGTGGCCAGGCACCCGGAGGCTTCCCTTGTTAATGCAGGTAGTAGGGTACTGAACATTGCGTTCTGTACACCCCCCCCCCAGCTGACTCTAAGAGCTTGGGCTCCTTGCCTAGGAATGGAGGGCTTACTTTTGTTCACCATTTGTAACGGACCCCCTGAAATCCGCCATGGGACCTCTGACTTGCAGGGCAGGAAGCTGCCCAGAGCCGGGGCCCAGGTCTCTCTTGGTTTTGTGAAAAATTGTGCTAAAATATATATAAGAAAAAATTGACCATTTAACCATTTTTAGGCATACAATTCAGAGGCATCAAGTACATGCATGACGTTGGGCAACCAATAGTACCATTTCCAAAATTGTTCTCATCAACTCAAACAGAAACTTTGTTCCCATTAAACACTAACTCCCCGTCCCCACCTCTCTCAGCCCCCAGTAACTTCCATTGTACCTTGTGTGTCTGGATTTGCTGACTCGAGGGAACTCCTAGAAGTGCAATCGCTCACTGTCTTTTTGTGACTGACTTATTTCACTCAGCATGTTCCCAAGGCTCGTCCATACTGCAGCCTGTCTCCAGAATTCCTAACTTTTTAAGGCTGAATAATACTCCACTGTATCCAGGCCATACCTTGTTTGTCCTCTCTGTCTGGGAACCGACGCTCTGCTTGTCTCCACCTTTTGGCTGCAGTGAACGGTGCTGCTGGACAGGTGTGTCGGCCCACGGAGCCTTCTGTGGAGGCCAGCCGGCCTCCGTGCAGCTCTGGTCTTGCACGTGGGGCAGGGCGGGCAGCTCCACCCTAACAAGAAGAGGGGAGGTGGGTGGGAGAGCCTCCCATGGGGACAGGGGTCTGGAGAGGAGGGGTAGAGGGTGCAAACCTAGCTCACGGCTTGACACCCACCAATGTTCCCACCTCACGCAGAGTGCAGGCTGAAGGCCTCACGAGGCCCTGCTCCTCCCCAGTCCTCCCCCATTACTCCTGTCATACTGGCCCCCAAGACATGGGGAACAAAGGCGGAAGAAAAAAGATTAAATTTCCTTACGCCCTGCAGCCCATCGACGAGTCTTGAAACAGGCAGAGTGACCTTCCTCCAGGGACTCAGCTGCCTCGATGTTAATACTTTGCTAACGGCAAAAGGCAACCTTAGCCCAACTCCCAGGACCTTGTAAGTCTACTTTAACATAGTAGAGATTCCTTTGGAAACCTCCTTTATCTCTACCCCCTAAGATACCTGTTGACAATCATCCCCCAAGCACATGACCCACCGATGCACATCTGGAGGCTCTCATGACTCAGGTTTTACTAAACAGTAATGAATGACCTTTTCCTAACAAGAGCTAGCTCCCCTCAAGGTCCTGGAAACCTTGTTTCCGAAACCTCTGGGAGGCTTACACTCTCCCTAACCCCCTCCCGACTTGAAAGTATGTAATGGGCTCCTCACGACCCCGGTGCGGCTCTTTCTGCCCACAGGTTCTGCCTCTGTACTTTAGTAAAACCACTTTTTGCACCAAAGACGTCTCAAGAATTCTTTCTTGGCCATGGGCTTCGAACCCTAACGTCTTTCCTACAACACCCCACATTTCTCAAACAAGGAAGATAAGCC